TACAGCTCAACTGACACCTTTCCCAGGAAGCTGCCTGAAGTGTGAAGGGTCTGCATTCTAGGTGCTTTTTTTAACCTGAATTATTTTATCCTCATGACAGCACTATATGGGGGTACTTTATTAACTCCATGGTACATGTGAAGAAACTAAGGCTTAGAGTAGTTAAGGAATTCAAAGTCACATGGCTCATAAGCAATCTGAGCTGCACTTTGAACTGGACTGGCCTGTGCCCAAGCCCTTAGCCACCCATGGACATGCTCCTCCTACCAGGAGGCTGCTAAGCATTTATTTGGGGGTGTCTGTAGAGGTGGAAGGAGAAGGAAGGAGAGGATGCCTGTCTTTTTGTGTTTACAGGGGTGGAGGCAGTAGCCTGCATGTCACCATCACCTACTGCCTGGCGTGGCTCACAGCCTATCAGCCACCTCACATGGGCACCGAGAGCTCCCACAGTTCCCACTGGAACTTCACACCTTCTAATCTGCCCCACGTTGGGCAGGTGGTGTTTGGTCTTGGGAACAGCCTGGAATGCAAAACTGACCTTTCTCTCTAGAAAAGGGAAGAGGGGATGGGATAAATCTATGGAGCATTCTGTCACAACTGACATTTTCAAACAGCCATTCCCCTTCACCTTATCATAATCAAAGAAATATGAACATAAAGATATAGATGGAGAAATCACCCACTGTGACACCCACTATAGGTAAGCATCGGTGAACTACAGTCTCAGGAATTGCTGCTAAGAGTATAAACTTAGTACCTGTTCTCAAGGAAAATTGGGCAGTATCTCTCAAAATCTTAGATATGCACACCCTTTGACATAATTTAATTTCTAGGATTTACATAATGAAAACACTTGCAAAAGTGTTTTAAAATATAGATGTTCATAGCAAAATTATAAATAACTCACAAGCTCTATTTAAAACATCCAAAAATATAGAAATCTATAAAGGAAAAATCTCTGTAAATTTCAATTCCTCTGGTGATATCTATTAATGATTTAGTACACATTATTTGGCCAGGCTTTTATGCATAGTTTTTCTTTCTTATGAGATATTTTTATATATTGATAGATAAAATATATTGTATAAATGAAGCAAAACTGAAGGAACAAAATAGCAGACTCAGAGACTCCAAGAATGAACTAGTGGTTACCAAAGGGGAGGGGTGTGGGAGGGCAGGTGGGGAGGGAGGGAGAAGGGGATTGAGGGGTATTATGTTTAGTACACAGGGTGTCAGGGATCACGGGGAGAACAATGTATCACAGAGAAGGCACATAGTGGATCTCTGGCAACTTGCTGCACTGATGGACAGTGACTGCATTGGGGTATGGGTGGGGACTTGATAATATGGGTCAATGTAGTAACCACATTGTTTTTTCATGTGAAACCTTCATAAGAGTGTATATCAATCATACCTTAATAAAAAATTTAAAAAATAAAAATAAAACTAACTAAATAAACAAAGTATATTGTATATATACTCTGCAAAGGAGAGGTTTTATCCCCTTTACATTTTATTGAAGGAATCCTTTTATAACAACTTATATGAACCCTATATGAGACTCATTTATTAACTTCATAGTATTCTGATTTTGGATGTGGAATCATGTACAGTTAATTAATTCCTTCTTGAAGATACTTAGGCTGAGGAGAATAAAATTTAATATAAACCAGGATACAGCTCAAAAGAAATGTTTACTCCTTAACAACTTGTTCCCACACATCAGCTTTATTTGGGATTGTGTATCCATTTCCCAGAGTAATCCAGAGCTCTTCAATTTTCCCTATCATTTTTTCCTGGTGGATTAAGGCAAAAATGAGGGCCTTCTACTTGGCCAGATATCACATTAACTCAAAATATATATCTAGAAACACAAATGTACCCACACATCTGGTTACAGGGCCGGGGAACCGTGCATTCACATGAGACTGTGTCATCACTCACAGCCACAAGCTGCTCTTTTCTGCAGAACCCGGTACACATTCTTCCAACTGTGGCTGCCCTGGAACTTGTCAGCACTTGTCCACCACCTATGCTTGCCATTCATTATGGCCCATGCTTCTTTCAGTTTGTACCCCAACCAGACATGCAGGACTCCCAAGGACTAGAACGACAGGGTGAGTCAGCCTTGAGGCTGGAGCACAGTGCTTCTGGCAAAGGCTTTTCCTCAGTGGAGGAGGCAGGGCACCAGAGAACTTAGCCCAAGGCTGCAGACATCAAAAGAAAGAGCCTGTGGAGTTCTCAACCATATCCTCAGCTCCTAGGCAAAGTCTTTCTTTTTGCAATAGATAGCTGGGAACCAGGGGAGAAGCCAGTTAAAAACCAGTTTTACTTTTTTCAGAAATAATGAGCCTTATGTAAAAAGTTTTTCTAAACCTTGTCTTCTAGATTCTCAGCCAGTTTTGTGAATGGGGGATTATTTGCCCCATTTGATACATGAAGAAACTGAATCACAGAGGACAGAGCTTGTAAGGGTCAGGGCTGGGTTTGAACCCAGGCCAGCCTCACAACTGCTTGGGATTTCTTCATTCTGCCTGGAGCCAAGCAGACAAAGAAGGGCTGCCTTTTTGGGCACTTGGCCATCTAGCCTCGCTCTGCCCAGCACGACTCTCCAGAAGACAAGTCCTGGGGACTGGCTGACTTTCCAGCCCTTCCTGTTGAAATAAACCCTTGATGATTTGTCATCATGGTGTCCTCTGCAATTCCACTAAATTGGTAAGGGCAACTCCAGCTTCAAAAATCAGGGCATCAGGAGCGAACAAAGCCAGCACCCCACCTATGTTTACGTGTTGGGGCCAAGGTGGAACCTGACCCTAACAGAGCTCATTCAACACCTTTCTCCTCCCACACTCCCCAAGGGGGTCACAGAGCTTTGAGGTGACAGATGCTTACAGTTCAACAGGAAACAAACATGAATTTTCAACAAGTTCAGCCACAGTTTGTCAGCCCACTTCTCCCAGACTTCACACAAATATCAAACAGAGAAGACATTAGATTTCACACTTGGGAAGAATTCCATTGTCACTATCCACAGTCCACTGTCTCCAGTTAAAAAGGCACCATTGGCACTGATCATTCCCTGGGACAAAGCAGTCAGTGGGTCCCTCCACTTGCTACTATCTGCTTTGACGTAGGGAAATTTGCCTGGGGCCTCACAAGTCTCGAGCAATATCCTGGAGTCAGTTGGACGTGACTGAACCTGTGGGTTCAAACTAAGCATGTTCAGCTGAATCAACAAACAAACCTCCTCTTTATATCATATTCTAATGTGAAAACAGAAAAAACAACAAATGCACACTGTGCTCAGCTTTGTAGCTGTGAGCTGCATTTTAATTTGAGGACATGTCCCTTCAAAATGGTGCCTTGGCTAACTGGGCCAGATTCTTCATATCTGGGGACACAGGTCTACAAATAAGAGCTTCCAATTCATGCATAATGGCTTGTCCACTTTCCTCCTAACCCCCTGAACAAAAGTGGCTTCACATCAGTCAGCCTGCCCACTGGCCTGGGAAGGGAGACAGGCTGAGGGCTCAGCACAAAAGACTCACAGGAGGGTGTCAGACCACATTGCCATCGCCAGGGCGCTCAGGCGGAACAACAAGCAGCAATGTCTTTTTCCCCTTTCACATGTGATTGCGAAAAGAGACCAGTACCTCACACAGACTGTGCTAACGTCTCGAGACAGGCATATAATGTTACTGTCTATAATTTTCCAGGGGCCTCGTCCAGTTACCATACATATTAAGACATGCACCACCATTTGAAGAAAGGAAAATATGGGGTGCTTGGTGCTTATTTTTAATTTAATTCATCTGGGAATTTTAAATCCTGAAAACTTAGCCCCTGCTTGCAGTATTTTAAAGTTTAAATGGCACACAATTTTGTCTTTTTCAATGGCAAACCACCCTTTTCCACTTAAGAGAAAGTTTTTTCAGTGTGTAATGCATTTAAAAAATCATTACATTACAAAAAAAATTATGGTACCTTAGAAATCATTACATTATATTATGGAATGGGAGAGTGGTGACAATGTTTGACCTCTTGTACTCCTTTGAAGGCAATCTTGTCTTTCCTCAGCCCTACTCAGTAAAAGGAGCCCATGTCTCTGTAAAGGTGACAGTAGAGCCCCAGCTCAATGGTGTTGGGGGGATGGTGACCCAGGAATAGAAGAGTTCGGGGGCACCTGAAACTAGATCTTGTGTCTCTGACTCTTGGCAAGCACACCAACCACAGCAAGGCTCTGTGTAAGGTGCACCTGCCACCATTCCAGCACATGACAGCCATTTCACAGGTGGCTTAAAAATTCTCCAAAGAATTCTCTAAAGACCCACAGGACTTCATCACTGGCCAGTCAAGCATCAGATGCCCTGTGCCTCTCTTCTAGCCAATCAAATTGGAGTATATTCTCACAGAGAAAACTATTGAGTTAATATCACAAGGATCTGAGCAGGAATAAAGAGAAACTTGGTGAGTCTCTACCTTAAGGATTTTTTGGATCTCTCTCCCCCGTACATGCTCGCACAGGGGTCCAGATTACACACTGCCCAAGAGTGTGCATATATGTGCTCCTTGCATGATGCACGGATGAGACAGCATGGGCAGGCATGGAGATTCAGGGCACAGACACACATGGGCACAAGGTCATGCACACTTGGGAAAGATGGCAAACAAACTCACTGGCTGCAGTATGCAAGTAGGGCAGCTGCTCCCTGACCCACACATGCTCTGGGCACCTTTGAGGTCTTGTCTCTCACCCACCCCCCACTCTCCGATCCTCAGGTTCCCCCACCAGAGGGCTCAAAGCCAGACACAGTCGCCTCACTTGCACGGCAAAGGCAGTGGCAAAGGATTTCATTGTAGGCCATATGTGTGCCTGGGCCTCTAGCAGCTTTATGAGAGCTGCTCCCTCCTGCCCACAGTGTGAAGTCTGGGTGGCCCTTGGCAGGCTAAACAAAGGCGTGTGTGCCCTGGGGTGTGAGCGTGGGGAGATGAGGACTCACATGGCTCCTTCTGCCTTCTTCATCTCCCACAGACGTGATGACTGTCTGTGAAAAGACCACGTGTCCAGTCTGGTTGTTGGTGATCTGTGGTAGGAAAGTTCACGAACACAAAATAGAAGTAATTCTGGGAAAATCCCACAAGTTGTTCTTCCCCCAACCCCCTGACAGTTTTCTGAAGCAGGAGCATCTGTCAACGAAGACAGAATGTCCACCCCACCTTTCTTTCTCAGTTCTACTAGCAGCGTCAGATAAACAGCTTCCCCTCTGTGCCGCCATACAGACACAGCAGAGCCTGCCTCCCAGGGCTGCTATGCAGGCAGATGAGGCGCTCTGTGCAAAGCACTCAGCACAAACCTGTCATCTAGCAAATGCTCAGCATTAGCTATTTTTATTGTTCTTGGGTCTCATCACTGGAAACTCAACATCAACTTTCTTTTAAAAATCTACAGGTCTGGGTGTCTAACCAAACATCTTTCATAAGAAGCAAGCAGGTTTATTAGCTACAGCTGTCCCCTTCTTGATAATGGTGAACTGTTTCATTAAGAAAGTGCTTAAGCTTAAGTGCTTAACTATTTCATCATGAAACTTCCCAATATTCCAGAATATCCTCTAGATGGGGAAATGTCAGGCCAAACTTAATGAGAGAACATTCCTGTCTCTGATTCTGTAGCCAGGAGCAGGTACCTTGCAGCTGAACCTTAGAATCTTGACATGGAACTCAGGCCATTCCTGCATCATCAGAGGCCATGGCTAATGTTTGGTTTGGTGATAAAGAACAGGAAGGCCCCTGGCCCAGGAGTTAGGAGATCTGTGTTCTTTGAGCCTTGGTTCAGCTGCCAACAACCATGCAACAAGTAACACAGAACAAGTCATTTCCCTTTTCTGAGTCACAATTTTCTAACTTCTAGGTCATCACAGAAACCTACAGCCAGAACAAGGTGGAAACTCTCAGCCTAATTGAGGAGGTAAAAATCATGTCTTCATCAACATACTTTAAAATGTTTATGTAAATAATTCCTCTCCTCAGCTAAAAAAGGATGTCTTCTTCCTCTGTGCCAGATTTTTTACAGGATTACCCAATACTGTCATTTTTAAAAAATTCTATGGTACTCTATGTACAGATTGCAGGACTTCTCAGAGCCTTTATTATACTTACGTGCATTGTTGTCATCTCTAGGAGGAGAAATGTATACAATGTTTTCCAAATACATCTCACCACCACTGAGCCCCTCTTTCATGGTGGAGCACTGCACGGGGCAGGTGCTCCATGGAGCCCACTTGAGAGTTAATGCTCTGTACTGATAACATAAGTTTACTATAACAAGAGTAATAACAACTTGCTGTGGCATAGAACTTTATAATTTACAAGGGACTCTCATATGTAATTTATTTGGCCCTCATGACACTGTTATATTGATGTTGATATCCCTATATCATAACTATGGATAGGAGGGGTCAAATATTTAAATCATTTTTCAAAATCACACTAGTTAAGGCAGACTTACTCTTGGGTATTCTAATATCTATAAGGAGTAACTTCAAGAGGCAGCTGAACCTGTTGGCTAATTACTGTCAAAAAGGATGACCTAATGTTGGTTTTGACCAGAATAAAATAATCACTCCAGTCTTCAGATGAGCAATGCTAAAGGCTTCTGTTCAGCAGGTAACTCATTCATTTGTCTGGAGAGGCGCACTCTGAGGCTGGGCCCACCAGAAAGCAGTGGGTGAAGAGCTGCACAAAGACTACTTGATGGTCAAGACAATGGCCCATAAAAATTGATGCCTTTATGCTCTAACACAGAAACACTATTGTGTCAACCAAGTCATTACCTGGGCACTTGAACAAAAGTAAACTTCTGTGAAAGCCATCAGAACCTTGCATATAGGAGTTGAGATGAAAACATCAAACTTCTTGACGTTCATAATAGAATGTCAACTCTACAGCCTCTAACAATGATCCCGAGTATCTGCACAGCAGACTTTCTTCAAGAGAACATAGCCTTCCATGGTTTGTTCTCAAAGTCCTGCCTGCCAAAGTCACACTAGAGGGCAGGTGACGAAGAACAGGCTTCACCAAGGGCAGGCTACTGTGATGTTTCTCTAGATCTGCTATATTTTCTTCCTCAAGTCATATCGGTAATGAACTTGCTTGCTTCTCATGCAAGATATTAGACCCACAGAAACTTAGACAGGTGGCAGGTTGGAAGAAACTCTACTGCAGAAGTTTGAATGGATAACCAGCAAATGAATGAATGTTTAATCATGTGGCACTGGAGGCATCCCCTTCTGAAGACAGAGTATATCACATTTAAGTTCCTCTTAAGGCAACAGTGAAGATCTTTTCCCACAACATGGACTCTATTTCAACTCTCTACTGAAACATATATAAAAAACTATGAGATAAATTTCCCAAATTCAATTCTGGGAAAGTATCTCTCTAGATACTTGTTTGCTTCCTTTCTTCAAATGATAAAAATTTCTGACCATTCCTTTGCAACTGGACTGGCAGGAAACCTGGAGTTGAATTTATTTCTTAAATACAAAAGCAATTTAGGTTTTTGATACATATCTCTTCCCTTTAAATAGCTCCCTCACTCCCTCTGGGATTTAATCTGTATTTTACCATCCTCATTGATACTTTTTGTTCTTGTATTAAATACATAAACAAGAGCTTAGTTCCCTGATGGGATCTGGTGCTAGAGAAAGGAAGATGTGCTGGCCATGACCTCCCTTACCTTGTGAATTTCTCGATGCACATGGATGGTATTATTTCCAACCTTGGTTTCTGTGTTGGTCTCATTGTGATAGCTGGAAGGTAAGTTCACCATGTTCACCTCTGATGACGTTTTAGCAGCAGCTTCTTCTGCCTCCATCTATGAAACCAATGAATGTGATAAGAGAAATTGTTTTCTCTTGATACAAATGAATGTTCATTAGAAAAAAAGAACCTCTCTTTTCCTCTTCTGCAATTACAAATAACAGTGGTAACAACAGGAACCATTAACTGAATACCCACCAAGATAGTACATTGTACTAAATGTTTTACATATATTATAGCCTTAAATCCTACAAGTACCCCAGGAAGTGGGTGTTAAGGTACCCATTTTGTAAATGGGGAACCTGAGTCTCAGGGAGACTAGATAACTTCCCAATACTCTCAGTGAAGCGTGGATTTGAGCAGGTTTCTGTTCAACAGTCTTAGCCCTGAATAAATGCTCTTGGGGCCCACTCATCTCCCTGTGGTCCAAGCATTCAATTCCCTTAGTGCAGGTGCCTCATTAGCGCAGTAGGTAGTGCGTCAGTCTCAATTCCCTTAGTGCAATAACCAAATCTGTCTCTCTCTGAGAGCATTCTCTGGCTGCAGAGAAGTGCTCAGTCTGCACAGGCTCAAGTGCTAGGGAGTTGAAACCCCAGCAACAATCTCCACCCAGTGAAGGACAGGCTATGGGGGTAAGCACCCCAGCTCCCTCTCCCCTCTGTCTGTGGAGACAGTCCCTCTCCGCAGACCCCCAGTGGGACTGAGTCCCGGGTGCCCTTGCAGTAACCTGCTCATTGCCTTTCTTCTCTTCCATCTCACTTTGTACTTCCTCCCAGTGCTTCTGGGATCACTTCCCAAATAAATTATTTCCTCCCAAGCTCATGTTGCAGGGTCTGATTGGGAGTGAGAGGGGCATTTAGAAGGAGCTATTTTGCCAGGAAATGTTTAGATAAAGGTGGAAAAAGCAGAGTAGATATCATGTTTTGAAGAGTCTGCTAACAAAATGGAGCAGAAATGAACAGACCTAGGACAGGAAACAGGATGGGCAAGAAAAGGATTTTTTAATTTTTTTTTGTGTGTGAAAAATCCTGGCATGTTTAGTGATAGAAAAGATACAGCTGAAAAAGAGTAGAAGGCTGAAGATGTTAGCAAGGCTATACACAGAAGGAGAGGGGAATATTTTTTAAATTGCCATTGGAATCTGAATCCTCCAGTCTCTGGCTTTCAAATAATGGACCAGTTACCAAATCTAGAGTTTGCCTTTGGCTGAGAAGATAGCCATTTTTTAAAACCTTCTCCTTCCCAACCAGTGGTTATTTCAACATAACGAGCTAACAGTTCTTTATGGCATCATGAACTAAAATGTACAGTTTACAGTGGAAATTTCAACCACAATTATTACTGCCACTAGCAAGAGAAACTTAAGCCTGAAGCAAAAGGAACTGTTTCACAGAGGAGGAATGTGGATGTTATTAAAAATGGCATTTACAGTTGGTTGAATCTGTGTGTGTGTTAAAGGAGCATATTAGGAAAAATGGGAGAGATAAGTCTAGGCTTGGTATTGGGTTCTGCCCAGGAATAGGTGAGGTGGTAAGAACATTCATAGGCCAGTTACAGATGTGGCTCTGAGTAGGGAGAGGGAGTGGCAGACAGTGGTTTTATCCTCAAAATACATTTATCAGTAATGTGTAGAATGATAAGACAGGAAAATAGGAACAGCCTAGATTGAACCATTTGAAGATCTGCTTCCCCCAATAATGTCCTACAAGTAAAGTTAACTTCATCTTTCCCCTTAAGAGAAATCAACAGCTTGAGTCAGCTGGAATATTTAAAATGTCAGGATGTTACTTGGAGGCAGATTCATGATGCAACTATGTAAACAATTAATGCATCTGGCCTAGTCCTTTCTGGTTCTTACCCAGGACAACAATTAAATATCAACTATCCTGTGTTTATGAGATTTAAGGGCCTTCCTGGCAGTCTCTTTAAAAAACTAATGTTAATAGCCACAGCCTATTGAGATCTATTATTTATCAGGCACTGGTGGCTCTTTGTTATGTATTTATACTTAGTACTATTAATATGATGACAGCAATAGCCATAATTTATTGAGAACCAACAAATCTCCCATAATCCTTATAACTACTTCATGACGGGATGACTTATACCAATTTTACTTAGCTCCATTTAGACAGATAACTTGCTGTGCTTGTATCCTCTCCTTTAAATCTCCCCTTATCCCTAAGGGGTGTGGACCCTTCCTCCATTTCAGAGCCTGGATCCCACCACTGGTTAGTGGTGGAGCTGGGATCAGAAGAAGGAAGGTTGGTCTCCAGGTCCTGTTCTCCTACCACACAGGTGCTCAGCCTCTCTCAACATTTTCCCACTGCCCCTGAGGACACTCTTTGGGAAACCATCACTGAGCACGGTAGAGGTGGCCAACATCTCCCCCGAGGGCAAAGTTCAACAAGCCTCTATTTACAACTCAAGTAGAGTCCTGTCTGGAGGAAGGAACCTGGAGCCTGGCAGAGTCAACAGAGACCTCTCCCATGGCCGCTGAAGGCCTGCCAGGCCCCCAGCTGCTCTGATCAATGAAGAGATTGAAGAGGTTCCTGTTGTTCCAGGAGCTGCCATCAGAGGACGACAGTGCATGGGCAAGTTCACACACATAGAAACGTGGATGGGACCTCTTCGGTTTCAGTGGGAATCTGTAATGCAGAAGGGAAAGTCCTGGAACCCAGATAAGGAAGGCAGATAGATAGATGACTTGCTCTGGAACCAGAATGATCAATTCTTTTTGAAGATACAGAGTCACGAGATGCTAGGACCTATCTGACTCCTGGCCGCCTGTAATTGTTCCATGTCATGCTTCTTTGCTTTCACAGGAAACAGAATGTCCATGGGTTTTGGACTCTGGTCTGTCCAGGCATGTTCAGTACAGCTGCCCATACAAATGCCTCCAAATCCAGTGTCCCCCTCATTGCATACTCCATCAAGCTGACTGTTATGGGAATGAAGGGGAAATATCCCCAAACTACACCAGGCAGAGGGAGAATGCAAACTCTCCTGGTAGACCAGAGCTAATATTTAAGGCTTTGCCCAACTGGAGTGTGAAGAAGCAGGGTCATGGACATGACTGCCCCACCAGCCTGAACATCTAGTCTCTCACTCCTCCACTGAAATGGCTAGCTTCTCTCCAAAGACAGGGTGTAGCCAGAGCTGGCCCCAACTGTGGCCATGGCCACCACCCCAGGCACCAGGGACAGCTCCCCACACCTGGACTAGGAGGATTGGCCTGCTGCACCTCCTGTCCAGGCAACCGTGGCAGTGCTTGAGCGCCCACCAGAGAGGATGCCATCCTGAGTGTCCGGACCTCAGTGGTTCATGCAAGAGGCCAGGCAAAATCCTTCCAAGGCATCAGGTATCTGATACTAACATAACAGCTGCTATATATTTGCCCACCTATTGCCAGGTGCTCACATGTATCATGGATATAATTCTCACAGGAAACTGAGGTACAGGATGTGAAGGGATATACCGAATGTCACCCCACTAATGAATGGCAGAGGAGGATCTTGAACCCAGGACTAACTCCAAAGCACTTCTGGGGTGGAGATGGGTTGCTTTTCACATCGCCCCTTCTCTTCTCACCCACCATCGTCTGTCTGACAATTTACTGCTGGGATATGGGATTTCAAGTTTCCTTCTCTGACCCACATGGTATTTGGGGAAACCCGGGCAGATTCTCAGCAAAGTTTAGGGTTCTTTGTCCCACATGGCATCTTAAATGTGTCTTGTAAAGATGACACAGGCTGAGTCCAATGAACAAGCTAGGACTTGAGAGCCTAGAGCATCCTCAGCCTCTGCAAATCCACAGGCTGGAATACCAGGAGCCTCGCAAGCATCCGCTTACAACACAGAGGCGGGGGAGGCGGGGGAGGCGGTGGGGCGGGGTAGGAGTAGCAAATGCACAATTGAAGACAGTTGTAGGGTGGTGACCGGCAGCCTGCAGGCAGGTGGTAACCCCGGCTGCCCATGGGTGGGTCCTGCCAGAGACTCTCAGCGAACAGGCTTAGATCCAGATCTTTTGGCAGGAAGGCAGAATGAGGTGGGAGTTGAGATCACCCTGAGCTGCCTCCAGATCACTCGAATCTGCTGCAGGGCCTTCCCAGCCCCTTACCGGGCCCAAGGGCCCTGGCCAGCGCTGGGAGCACTGCTTCCCCCAGACCCCGCTGCCCCCGGCCCGCGCTTCCTGGGGCCCGCGCCCTCCGGACGCACCCACCTCCTCCACCGCGCTGCGCAGTTTGTGCTGCGTGTCCTCCATCAGTTCTTCAACCTCGCGGAACATCTCGTTGAGCGTGGCCTCCTCCTGTGGGTAGCTGAGAACCCGGCCGGGCTCGATGGGAGCCGAGGTTGCTGTGGGAGCCGGCGCGGGGGCCGTGGGGACAGCCGCTGCCAGCAGCAGGCACAGCAGGGTGCCGCCGAGCCGCCGCATCTCCGCTCTGCGCCGCCGCCGCCTGTGCCCGGAACCCGGTCAGAGGCGTTCCGACTAACCCCCTCGCCAGCCCCGCCGCCGCGTCCCGTCCCTCGCCGGGCACTCCTCCCCGCACCGACCCCCAGATGCGAGCCGACTGAGCCCCTCCGGACTCAGCTCCCCGGGAGGGAGGCGCCCCACACCCGCTCCAGCCCTCGCGCCCTGGTCCCTTCCGTACGCCGACCCTCATCCTAGTGCACAGACTGTGCTCGGCCCCAGCCCCCCGAGATGGCCCCCTCCCCTGAGCAACGCAACCCGCCAAGAGCGCTCCCGCTCACCCCGGCTACGCGCGGGGTTCCTGCCCTGCTCCTCCGCGACCAGGTCGGAGCGCAGCTCTGGGGCCGCGACCGCACTCCCACCGCAACCCCATCCCAGCCGCATCTGGGGTGGCAGAGCGCGGGGCAGCACCCTCCCCTCGCGGTCGAATCGAGCGCCGCCGCCCCTCACCCACCCAGGCAAAACCGAGCAGAGCCATCCACCATCCCCGCCGCCGCCCCTCACTCACCCCCGCTGGACTGAGCTGTGCTCCGGGCTGGACTCGCCAGGCCTCACCAACAGGCCGCCGCGGGGCTGCGGGAGCTGGAGCGGTGCGGTGGGCCGGCCGCGGGTGCGCGAGCGCGGCGGGGATGCGGCAGCGCTGGTACCCGAGCGAGCCCGCAACGCCCCGCCCGCCAGGTCCCCGCCCCGCGGGAGGGGCGGCGGCCCAGCCCAATGCCATTGGCCGCCTGGGCCCCGGCGACCTCACGCCCCAGGCCTGCCTCTGCCTCCGCGATCACACCGGGGAGGCCGCCTCTTCTGCCTCCGCGGCATCCTAATCCATTGTCTTCTCTGGCCTGGATTCTGGGAACAGTTTAGGGGAGACGGGAAAGGTGTTATTCCTGCGTCCCACCTTGTCCCTCCCAAGCCTCACTCTACGTAGCATGCAGGATAAAATCTCAGCCCCTCAACCTGGCATCCAACGTCCATCACAGGCTGGCCTTAATGGGGCTGCCATGGATGACGCCGCGGTACTCCAGCCAAGAAGACCCACTTACAGCTCCTGGCCTAGGTGATGAGAATCAGCAAGCTCCCTGGAGGCTGCATGGCAGAGTGGTCAAGACCAGACACCCGCAGCCAGACTGCCTGGTGTGTGAATCCCAGCTCTGCTCCTTAATCCCTCACCAATCTGGCCACGTTACTGGGTTTGGCAGCGCTTCAGTTAGCCCAAATGTAACCTGGAGGTTATACTAGGAAGAGGATCTTCTAGTGTACAAGCATGACGCATACAGGGAACTGTGGGCACCTTATGTTAAGTGGGGACATCATAATGGGAACAGAAATTCGTCCTAACTGCGGGAGCTGGAGCGGTGCGGTGGGCCGGCCGCGGGTGCGCGAGCGCGGCGGGGATGCGGCAGCGCTGGTACCCGAGCGAGCCCGCAACGCCCCGCCCGCCAGGTCCCCGCCCCGCGGGAGGGGCGGCGGCCCAGCCCAATGCCATTGGCCGCCTGGGCTCCGGCGACCTCACGCCCCAGGCCTGCCTCTGCCTCCGCGATCACACCGGGGAGGCCGCCTCTTCTGCCTCCGCGGCATCCTAATCCATTGTCTTCTCTGGCCTGGATTCTGGGAACAGTTTAGGGGAGACGGGAAAGGTGTTATTCCTGCGTCCCACCTTGTCCCTCCCAAGCCTCACTCTACGTAGCATGCAGGATAAAATCTCAGCCCCTCAACCTGGCATCCAACGTCCATCACAGGCTGGCCTTAATGGGGCTGCCATGGATGACGCCGCGGTACTCCAGCCAAGAAGACCCACTTACAGCTCCTGGCCTAGGTGATGAGAATCAGCAAGCTCCCTGGAGGCTGCATGGCAGAGTGGTCAAGACCAGACACCCGCAGCCAGACTGCCTGGTGTGTGAATCCCAGCTCTGCTCCTTAATCCCTCACCAATCTGGCCATGTTACTGGGTTTGGCAGCGCTTCAGTTAGCCCAAATGTAACCTGGAGGTTATACTAGGAAGAGGATCTTCTAGTGTACAAGCATGACGCATACAGGGAACTGTGGGCACCTTATGTTAAGTGGGGACATCATAATGGGAACAGAAATTCGTCCTATCCATAGCAGTCTCCCCACTGCCTAGAACAGGGGATGGGGGAGCACTCCCTATTTTTTAACATTTTTAAAAAATATGTGAGTGCCCAGAACAGAGAATACTCACATATTTTTTAACAGATGAGGGTTTTCTCAAACGTCCTTCTCTTTTCTTCCTGTTACTCCTGTCTGGACGGTTCTCCCTCTTCCCATTGGCCTGGCTCACTCCTCCCCATCCTTCAAGACTCAGAGTCCTGCCCGAGCTCTCTCCCTCCCCTTCCCATCTCACCTCTAGTTTCCCCTGGCACCACATGCCTCCCTTGCTGAGGTCCCTCTCGTCGTGGCCCGTGTCCCACCGGGGGCAGAGGCAGACTTGCTCACCTTTGCATCCCCAGGGCTGCAGCCATAATACACACTTGGTCCCTGAGAAATGGATGGGCTCATCATTCTAACAATAGCTCCTGTTATTTCTATGGAGTGATACCATTACCTTTCCGTTAGCTCTCTGGGGTGGCTAAGCCCAGGCAAGGAACCAGGAGCTACCTCCCAGGACACACCACCTTGCTGCTTCAGGCACGTGCACTAGGAAGAAAGTAAACCCGAGGCTGCTACTGGGAGGCACGTTTTGGGGCCCAGCCAAGAGTTGCTGTGGTTCAGATTTACAGAGCACACCATGCTCTTTCAGTTCTCCACAGAGCTGTTTAAAAGACTAGAAATCTCCCCAAATAAGATGTGTTTTCTGCCTTACATCTTTTGCCATGAGTGGAGGTCCTGACTTGCAGACTGAGCTTTGAAAAAAAAAATTGTTGAGCTGCCCAACTGTCAGGTAAAAGGCTACATGTTTTCTTATTTGGGGTCTGATTTTTGCATTCCTAAAGGTAAGGATGTATGGATAGTTCCATTATGAAGTGAAACTTCAAAAAAAGAAAGAAAGAAAAAGAGGGAAAGAAGGAAGAAAAGTAAGAGATAAGAAAATCTACAGGCCTCAGAATTTAAGTGCATTCCCTGGCCCACTTCTTGCCAGTCCCACCAGCAACCTGAGGTATTCCCAGACAGGGAGGAAAGGCACTGGGGTCAGCAGCAGAGATGGGCTCTGAACAGATCCACCCAGCCTGGGCTCCAGGAAGCTTGGGGACAGGGGTGGGGGAAGCTGTGGGTTTGCAGCCTGAGTTGTGAAAGGGTCACAGTCTTGATGGCCACCTGGTCATTGTGAGCTGAGGGGCCCAGGGACACACAGAGTGTGCGGAGCTGTCCAGATCAATCATCTTTAGGGTAAGGAACAGTCCAGAATTCCACAGTTCCCATTACATTTCTAGTCTAAGCTCTCTATCAATTAACACTTGTTTTTTCTTTTTGTGGTATTGGAAACACTCTGGAATTATTTAAAACTTCTGACTTCTCACATTTTCTATATGAGGAATCTGCAGAGGCATAAACTGGGCTCCCCTTTCATGGTTGAGTATGCAGCAGCAGTAACCTGCTGGAAATTACTTAGGGAGTGAGCTCCTGAAACCCATGACCCTGTGCCTCAGGACACTGCATGAACGTGGTCATTGTTACAATAGCAGAAAGGTGATCGCCCCTCAATGTTTTTCAGCAGGAGGATGGATAAACTGGGATTTCTACAAACAATAGAAGAGAGCAGTTAAAGTAATGAACAATATTTCTAGGCAACAACAAGGATAAATTACAAAAGAAAATGTGGAATGGAAAATGCCATCTGTGCATATTTGAAAAACACAAAACAACAGCTTGTATTGTTTATGGATGCTGTAGATATAGTAGAAAATATATTTTTTTAAGTAGAAAAAATATATATAGTAAAAAAATGTCTAGGCTGCCACAGAGGTGGAAGGCAGGGGAAAAGATGGGGACTATCTTCAGTCATATTTATAACATTCTGTATCTTTTAGAAGGAGAGTGTACCTGTGTGGAGAAGTTCTGAAGCAAACGTGTCCAAATATTCACATCTACTTAAATCATCATAGTTGATTAAGTACATGTGGGTTTACGGGTGTGTCTGTTGCATTATTTTCCTTATCCTTGAAATAGTTTGTTAATAAGTTGAAACCAAAAAGAAAAAAAAAAGCAAAAGGAAACTTCCCCCACTCCCACCCTAACACCCACAACAACATGAAACAAAAACGTCTAGGGCCAAACAGACTTGTCTTGCATGTGTTTTTGACAGAAATGCTCACCTCCGCGAGGCCCAGCAGTGGCCTCCGTTACTGTGAGGTGAGAAGGGCTGGGAGATCCCCACCAGGCTGGCTTGGAGGGACATTTCTCTTCATAAAAGGTGCTTCTGTCTGCTTGAATGGCTGGGAGCTCCTCCTGGGGTGGGTGGAAGGAGCTGGATAATGGGTCTGAGCAGTGGGCAGGGCTTACCTGTCAGGAGGGAACCCCAGATATCCAGAACTCAGAGGCACTCAAGTCTGCAGAGGTTAACTGTTATGCTCTGATTTCTAAAACTTTTAACCATTTATAATAATTAACTAGACTAGGGGAGGATTTACACATTTCTCTTTTTTTTCTTTACCTTCTATTATAAGTAAGCTATACTGAACACAACTTGAAAACAAACGTAAAAGGTTAGCTCAGAGATAATGTTATCTGCAGGACTATTTAGTATCTGTTTTCCCTGCTAGAATGCAGGACAGGTGAGACTGCATGGGATGCCTGTCCCCACAACTATCTGCCAGCCAGGGCTTCTGCTCAGGGCTGGAGCCCCTGCCCTCCAGGAATTTGCAGTATATGAAGTAACTGAGAAGTAAGCGGATGATGCCAGGGCAATAGAATGGAGGAAAAGACAGAGAGGCTGATTCTTTTCAGAATGTCCTGGAGGGGTGTCCATTCTTGGCCCAATTAACTCAGGTGGGAGTAGGATGACCTACTTCCCTACCCTTTGATTGGAGCAGGGACAAACACCTGTCTAAAGCTTGGCCCAGCAGACTCTTTCTCGGATTTTGAGGCTGGGATCATTCAGCTGCTTAAGGACAAAAGCCAGCATGGAGAGAGAGCTTCAGAGACAGACAGATTGAAAGAGAGGGACATTTAAAAGCAGAGTCTATGAGCCTACGAGCGGAGGTGACCAGCAGGAAGAGTGTAGCGGCTGCATCCCATGGCCTTCAGGGGCTTGGTCTTTTGTGAGTCCGCCTGAGCCCCAGCTGCTCTTACACGCTGGGAGATGTTTTTAGAGTCTTCTCATATGCTTCCCTTCTTATTAGAGCTACGTTTAGTGACTTTTTGCTACTGGCTACCAAACTCCAAACTGCCTTAAATGCTTGGGGTGGGGCTTCCTATATTTTAACAAGGCAATCCTCTTCAAGGAAAAGGAGGTTTCTACTCCTCTCTGAGACCCATGTATTAGAAACAGAGGGCCAACACATCTTGCAGGACAAGGCCATGTCAGCTGTGCTCCCCTTTGCTGGCTGCCCCCTGACCCACAGTGCCAGCTACTAATTTCATCGAGGCCTCCCAGGTCCTGCCTGTAACTTGTGATTGTTCTGAAGAAATTGGTGCCAAGATTTTTCAGAATGGAAATTCCATCTGGCTTTGGAAAGAGTGGTCACATGGATTCAGGGTTTCCATGAGTAACAGCCACTGA